CCTTGTCCGGCTGGGGAGGGATCCGTGCTTATTCCAGGCAGGTGGTGGTGTGGGATCCTGGCAGTGAGGGCTACAAGGAAGCGCCGTGCTCTCCGGCCGGCCCGCTCCCGGCCCCGGTCCCTGCCCCGCACTCACCGCTGCGCTCGGGACGTGTTGCAGAGCGGGGACCGGGTCTCGGGGAGGCGGTTTTGGGGATCTGTGAGTTGCAGGCTGATTTTTTAACGTGTCTAAGCTCAGCCTGGGATCAGAATGGCAAACTAGAGGTTTTGGAGTGCTAATATCAAACTCTTTAAAAAGGATCCTGCCTAGAATGGCTGAAGTACTTGCCGTGATTTCCCAGTGAATTTAATGCATTGTCTTGTGCAGAACGTATGGCACTAAGCCTCTATATGATGAAAAGCATGAGTAAAAAGACCTTTTAACGTGTCTAAGCTCAGCCTGGGATCAGAATGGCAAACTAGAGGTTTTGGAGTGCTAATATCAAACTCTTTAAAAAGGATCCTGCCTAGAATGGCTGAAGTACTTGCCGTGATTTCCCAGTGAATTTAATGCATTGTCTTGTGCAGAACGTATGGCACTAAGCCTCTATATGATGAAAAGCATGAGTAAAAAGACCTTCCTGGATTTTTTTTTTACTGTCTTCAGCATTATAGCAGGTTGTTTGGTGTTTGGTTTTTTTCCTAGTTGGGATGAAACTCATTTTGGGAAGATGGGAAGTTACTACATTAATCGGACCTTCTTCTTTGATGTCCACCCCCCGTTGGGGAAGGTAAACTGCTCTTCTGTTACATGTTTTAGAAGCCACAGGAGTGGGCCAACGAAAGTCTTCCCCATCCTTCTGGCTGAAGGATGTGATGAACACCAATACCTTTTCTAACTGTTGATGGCATCATGGTAATTTGCATTCTCTATCCAGAGCCTCAACTTGTATCTTTTCCTCTTTATGAAAATGCTTTTAATATGGGAAGACAAAACAGTATTGCACGTTGGGTATTTGAAAGGCTTGACATTAAAAAATGAATGTGACACTTACATGGTTTGGAAGAGAGATTTAATCGAAGCCTGCAGTTCAAAGGAACCAAACAGTTCCTGATAGTTTGTGTGTAAATGAGACTCCTACCACAAAGGACCCTGAAAGCCTTGACTTGCTATTCTGTAATCAAAAAACTTGTTCTAGCAACAGTGTGCAGTGTTGATGAAGGCGCACTCCTCCTGCCTCAGGAAGATTATCTTCCTTTCAGGCTGAGTCTCCTTAAACTATAGGAATAGGGAGCTATGGGAGAATCTACAGAGACAGAATTATCTCTGCTAAATCCCACACCTGGTGTTTCTCTTGAGCTTGCAGTTGTCCCTATAGGCAGCAGCCAAAATCCTTTTGATCCCTTCTGATTTTGCCTTTAGACAAAGGGCAGTATGTATGCATATGAATTCTGTACATAAACTCTTGTTTGGATGATGTGTCTGAATTAAGTAGTTATCCTCTGGATCAGACTGGCTTCTATAAAAATCTTACCTGTTGCTGGCTTGGATACTCCTTGGATACTCAGGATTTCCCTGACTGTTTTTTTCACCTTTCCTCTTCAGATGCTGATTGGACTTGCTGGCTACCTTAGTGGATATGATGGTACATTTCCTTTCCAAAAGCCAGGGGACAGATATGAGCAGCACAACTACGTGGGAATGAGAGGGGTAAGGCCCTACAGGCTGGTATCAAGCTGGTTAGCTCTTCTGTGCTTTTCAGTACAGAGTGTTACGTCATAAGAACAGCTCTCCTGGATCAGATCAGAGGTCTGTTTAGCCTTGTACCTTGTCTTTACGCTCTTCAGAAGAGTGTTAGTGGTTGTATTGTGAATAAGTCTTAATGTCTGGCCGTGAGAGGCCAGGTAGGAAAGTAAGGTGATTATTGAGGCCAACCCTTGCTGCTAATTAGTGGGACTACACTCCTGAGTGGGACAGATATTTTGCCTGTTCTGTAAAGGGAACATTGCTGAGCTTGGGCTTGTGCTCACTCCATTGTGCCTGGCTGCTCTCCTGGAGAGCCAAGGATGTCAAAAAGCCAGGATCATCCACTGCCACCTGCAGTTTGCCACCACCAGTGACACTGAGCTGAGTAAGCCGATGGAGCGGTGTGGGGGTGGAAATTACTATTTAGAGTGGTATTCTGTCTGAAACCCTGGCTGTACTGCTATCTAGGAAGACCAAGAGCCATAAAACTGACAACAAGTCAGAAAAAGAAATAGTGGCCAATTGCCTAGAAAGAAGGATAAAAACCGGGAAGGCATATTTTCTTGGTTTACTTTCTGGGTCTCCAGCAATTCATGGTTCTAGATTTCCCTTGAGCCAAAGGTGGGAGAAGTGTTAGAACCAGACACTGAAGAGAACAAATTTTACTGTGATGCTGCTTTCTTCTGTTTTGATTTCTGTTCTTCCTCCTCCAACTATCCTCAGTCTCATTTGCGTAGGGGAGATGATACTGGTCTGCTAAAGATGTAAGGTACAGGTGTATTTTGTTCTTAAATTTCATATTCTAATGTCCTGTAAAAATAAGTTGAGTATGGTGGATGTGTAGTGCACCTACCTGACACATGTTTTTATGAATATCTGATGTAGTCTAGGAAGAGAATGACCAGCTGTTGTTACTGACACCTCTAGAGACAGAACAGAGTAAGCAGCTGTCCTCTGGACAGTATCTTTGTTCATTTGGCTTTTGTCTGATATTCTTAGTGAGTCAGTTCAGCTACTGCAACACCTCCTGTTGTTGGTAGGTGTGGAAGATGAAGGAAGGGAAAGGATGTGGGTGCATGTTCACCTTGGGGAGGGTTATAACTTCTCCCATGATCTTCTCTTCCTGCAGTTCTGTGCGTTCCTTGGCTCCTGCCTGGTTCCCTTTGCCTATCTCACAGTGTTGGAACTGTCAAAGTCACTGCCAGCAGCCTTACTCACAGCTTTCATCCTTATTTTCGGTAGGTGTTCCTGCTACAGCAAAATTGAGCAGGTTAATTTTTCAGAGAATTTAATTTCTGGATTATCATGTGTTACCTACCAGGGGATATTGGGGTTAATGAGAGAGGTTCCCAAAAGCAAAGTAATTCTGCTTTATATATATGAGGCTTTTTAATTGGTGGTCCCCTTGAGAATTTTACAGTCTTTTTTAGTTCATAGGTACTTCTGTTATGGGCATAACCACAGCATTAGACTACATTTCACCTCAATTTTAAGAATTTGTATAAGGTGGATGGTCAGGAATGATTTTGCCCACTAGTGAAATATTGATGTCTCCCATATGAATTATAGAGGTATTTAACAGCCTACTGCATTATTGTGGAAGAGTTCACAGTAAGAAATGAATAAAGTTCCTTGTTGAATTGAGCCAAGTGGAGAAATTAACATTGTAAATGGAGTTACCCAAATTGGGGTTTTGTGAGGACACACAGATGTTGAGGTATGGAGACTTAAAATATCCAAGTCATATTCATTTTTTGTAGGTAACATCTGACTTCTCCTGTAGCATCCTCTGGCACTGTGCTGGTGCCTTAGTAGGTAGGTCATTGCTGTCTGCAATGCTCTCCATCTGAATATGTTAGCAGCACCTCCCAAATGATGTTTCACAGATACTGTTGTACTGCCTGTTTTTTGTGAGGGTTGTTTTTCATTTGTCACCCAAGTAGAGTTGAAATGGTCTGATCTGCTTCTGTTTCTGAAATTTCCCTTGTTCCCCTTGTCTTGACTACACTGAGGAAACTGGCTTCCTGCCATCTTAGATTCACTTTGGAACCGCAGGCCTTTTTGACATTGTTGTGCATCTGTTTGCAGATACGGGCTGTATTACTTTGTCCCAATATATTCTGCTGGACCCCATTCTGATGTTCTTCCTCATGGGAGCTGTTCTGAGTATGGTGAAATGTAATAGCTGTGCAGATAGGTAAGATAAAGATGATAACTTTGTTAAACTATAGGTACTCAACTTTCACACAGATAAAGTACTAGAACATGCCTGCCACTTGGTAGTCTGGGTGAATGGCTGAGATGAGATTGTTTCAGGAAATTTGGAGGTGAAAATGGCTCATGGTAGGGGAGAAAAATTTTTAGAATGAGGGTTTGTGAATCTAGGGAGAAAGATAGTGGCTGGGGTACACCAGGAGAGAGAGACTTAAATAAATTATTTTAGCATGAAAGGAAATTTCAGCAGAAATGGTGTTTATGGAACTGCAAATCTTGAAAATAAAGGTTAAAGCTTTTTAAAACTTGAGAGGAAAGAAAGATAGTATAGGGCATTGTAGGTCAGAGAAGGAGGAATGAAGGATGGTTGGAGCCTATTCAAGGCTTTGCTCCTTAATGGCAAAAAAATTAATTTGTTATCTTGAACCAATCACTTTGTCTCCAGGCTGGAGAAACACAGCTTATCTGTGACTGTAATACTATAAGCACTTATAAAATCCTGCTAGCTGAGGTAAATAGTGTAATTTGTTGGGTTTAGAGAAATTGGTACCAAAGATTTGAGAGAAATATAGCCATGTTTCGGAATAAAGCAGTTAAGTTGCTCAGGATATTTGCTGTAGACCCATTCAGAGGGGGATGGTGATTTATAGGTATTTGGATATGTCAGAAGGCTGCTTCGTTGCTGGGCTGTAGAAAGTAGTTTCCCCACGACGCATCCAGAATTCAGAGACATAAAAGCTTAGAATACTGTGTTATATATGAGCAATTTTTGTTTCATGAAATAGTCAAGAACTGATCATATCAATCTTAGTGTCACTGCAGCGCACATGGCTAAAATGCAGCCTGCAGTGTCATATGGGGCCATCCAAGGCCATCTTCATCTACAACACACACCCCAGGGAGTGCAAGCACTAAGTTACAAGGCAGAGTTTGATTAGCTCTGTGTGCCTTGACCTGAACTTATTTCTCATGTCTTGGAGCTAATCCTGTTTTCAAACTAGTTGATTTTATGCAAATTAAAAGCCAGCTCTAGCTAGTCTATTGCTTTAGCAGGTCACAGGGATTTTGTCTAGTCAAAATACAAGCATCAGGAGTCAGTAGGAAAAGAGTTTTAAATTCTGCTGTCATCTTTTCTCATCTTTTCTCTGTGGTTTAATTTTAGTTTAGTTTGTAATTTGTTTGCTTTTTGCTGCAGCTTTTGTTTGTGCTTTGGGTAGATGTTTTCCACTATGGCCTTTCTGCTTTAGGAAAAGTAGCTGTTCTTTTTCTCCTGTTCTCCCTCACGCCCTTAGCTTTCTGAGAGATGTAAGTTTGCATTTTATGGAGCAAAAGTCCTGTTTCTATTTTCAGACCTTCCATGTGTCAGACTTTCTTCACACTGGTATTTTAGTTTATACCTGGTGTTTACGTTCCCTTCCTTAAAGGGGAGATTTAGGGCTGCCCAGGCTTAAGTGTTGGGCCCTTCTGAAGCCTGTGTCAGGGGTATTGTTGCATCGTTGTAAAATTAATGAAACCATTATCTTTCTATTCCTCATGGGCTCCTGAGAAGAAGGTGGAATGTAATTTTGCAGGGTAGCCAATTTGCTGTTTGTTTTCCTGATGGCAGATGCCCATTCAAGGAGCCATTATTTATTTACTGACCTGCTCTATCTGTCCTGCAGGCCATTTTCTGCCTCCTGGTGGTTCTGGCTGAGTCTGACTGGTGTGAACCTTGCTGGAGCAATAGGCGTAAAGTTTGTTGGCCTTTTTGTGGTCCTCTTGGTTGGCCTGAACACAATCTATGACCTATGGGACTTGCTGGGGAACCTCAGCCTGTCACTGGTGAGTGTCAAAAACTTTTCTTTACATTAAGGGTTTCTTTGTTTTGTTTTCCTAGTTATTGACAACTAGCCAAACAGTGGTACTCTGTCTGCAGCAAACGGGCATCTGAGGTGTATGATGATGATTAAAGATGAAGGTTATAATGGAAAAACTATTGCCATAAGCTTAAAAAAAACCCCACATATGTCAGCGGGATATAATGTCATAAGAGCACAGCAAAAAGGTTGTTGCTTCTTCTCGAGAGAAACTATTACATTTCCAGTTGGATTAATTTTATTTCAGTCTAGGTTAAAAATGTTCATTGGGAATAGCTGTACAATGGCCCAAAGCAAGATGTTGTCCAACACTGTTACATGACCTTCTGAGGAGTACGAGCTACCTGGCAGACAGGCATGTCTTGCAGCACCTAGTTTGCATAAGCAGCGCAAGCTCAGGCTCTGCTTCACAAGAGTACGGGGGCACAGGCCGCATAGCAGTAGCATGCTATGGTCTATCATGAGTCATAGGCATGCTCTGCAACTTGCAGTCTCCGTAGCCAGTTGTCATGGTTTAACCCCAGCTGGCAACTAAGCATAACACAGCCGCTCACTCACTACCCCGCCCCGGTGGGGTGGGGGAGAGAATCAGAAAGGTAATAGTGAGAAAACTCGTGGGTTGAGATAAAGACAGTTTAATAGGCAAAGCAAAAGCCGTGCACGCAAGCAAATCAAAACAAGGGATTCATTCACTGCTTCCCATCGGCAGGCAGGTGTTCAGCCATCTCCAGGAAAGCAGGGCTCCATCACGCGTAACGGTTACTTGGGAAGACGAACACCATCACTCCGAACGTCCCCCTTCCTTCTTCTTCCCCTAGCTTTATATACTGAGCATGACATAATATGGTATGGAATACCTCATTGGTCAGTTGGGTCAGCTGTCCTGGCTATGCTCCCTCCCAGCTTCTTGTGCACCTGGCCAAGCATGGGAAGCTGAAAAGTCCTTGACTAGCTTCAACACTACTTAACACACTGATGTTTTAGTTGTTGCTATCAACATTATTCTCATACTAAATCCAAAACATAGCACTATACCAACTACTATGAAGAAAATTACCCCTACCCCAGCCAAAACCAGGACACCAGTCCTGAGGATGAAGGCAGCCATAGCCTGCTCGATTTCACACACATTTAGTTCTTATAAGCTCTTAAAAATTTGCTAGTGTGTTTGGGTGCCCTGTTCTAATATGTTGCATTTTATATTTGGGGACTGTGAAATCTAATATTTGGAGAAATACCTTGATGTACCATTTGCTGTCTTGCAACCAGCAGGAAAACAAATTCTTCAAGCACATCTTTTAAAAGGTGTTCAGTTCTCTTGTCTCAGCCTCTTCTGAAGCTTGAAAATTCTCCATCCTTCACTTACTGTTTTTGTCCTGTTTGTCTCATAAACAGTGGGGGTTTTGGGGGACTTTTTCTAAAAAAATTTGTTTTCTCTGATTAATGTGGATCAATATGGGCTGCAAAGATGCAATGTTCCAGCTCTGGAGAAGCACTTCTTGAGCAAAGTCAGTTAATTGCATTTGAAATGGAACAAATCCATCATGTCTAAGCTTTCTGCCAGCAGACGGCTGTACAGTGATTTCATTTGTGCTGCTGGCAGCAAAGGCAGCAAGCCCCTGAGTGTTAGAACATGTAAAGAAATTTACTCCAGAAGGTAGATGCTTTCTGAATAACTAACTATTTGGCAACCTTGGTGCTTGAGGAGGGGAAAAAAAAGAAGTGAGGATTGAACTTCTGAAAGCCTGAATAACTTATCTCTGCATTTGTTAGGAAACTACTCATGATTACTTACATGCAAGGTTTTTGGGACTGATTTGATTTCTAGACTTCTCAGCTTATCTTGGTCCACTGTTCTGATTTTCTTGATGCTGTCTGTCTTTCATATGCATTTTCTTTTTTGACTTTGAATTGAAGTCTGTAGTTGAAGAAAACCTTTTCACAAAGATTGAAGCATATTGTGGTCATTTTGAGCAGGGAACTGGAGATTAGTTCATATGCCTCTCTGCTGCATAAATTTGGTTATATACCATCAATCGGCATTTTTCCAAGTGTCCAGTGGTTATTAAGCGTTCTGCTCAAGTACTTGAGCTGAGCAACTGTTTCCTTTGTTGACTTCAGTAAGTTCTTGGTTTTGTAATGTGTTCAGCTCTTTTTCCATTACTTCTTAAATCTTTGGATCTGTTATTAAGGAATAGAGGATGATTAGCTTAATGATTGTGTGATAAGTACCATGTAAAAAAAAATGGAAGATAGCAAGTACATCTGCCTTGGACATTTAGCAAATGATTTTTGCTATTTAAGGTGTTTTCTTCTCCCACAGCTGTTTATTACCCACCCTGTATTTTAGATTACGTACTCTGCTACCAGCAGTGTCAGTAGAATTTGAATATGTAATTGCGTCTTGGGTATCTGTGTACAAACCACCTTTCCAAGGGATTTAAATAAAATGCTCTGCTTTTGTGTTGAGGCAGCTAGAAATGCTCATGGGGTTTGCTGCTGACTTTTCTGTAACCTCTGGCTGAGGACCAGCAACAGAAGTTGCAATGTGAGAGCATGCTTGCTAAGTGGGCTGATTTCTGTGAATGCAGCATATCTAGGTCCCCAAGAAGTCCTTGTTGCAGTTATATTTGCACAGAGAAACTTGTTGGGAGAATTGTATCTAGTAGCTTGTGCCCTCATGTTTTCATTTTCCCTTTTGCTTAGCTTTGACAGTTATTATTCTGGAAGCCATCTCCTTGCTGTGATTTTGTCAAGATGTGTACCACTGTGATAAACAAGCTAAGGTCCTTGTTTTCAAAGTACTGTCAATGGGGGCTGCTCAACCTCCTCTGCCAAAGTTAAGCACGCCCAACTTTTTTAAAAGTTAAACCCTCCTATTGCCTGTTTTTGTCTTCCTCCCAAGACGCTGAAATTTCAAGGTACCCCAGCTCCAGCTTTTGGAGATGCACAACAAGGTCTGCCTAAGCTTTTACTGCTCCCTCGGCCTTTTTGAGGTAATTTTGCACCCTGCTGGGCTTGCTTGCATGGTAGGCTTCTGCTATAGGACCACTGCTCAGAGTCCTGTGAGATAGAGTGGAGTTGTTCCTGCAGCTGCACTGTTTGATCCAGCTTGTGTTTGTTACAGGTCATGTTTGGGAAGCATTTCCTGGCCCGTGTACTCTGCCTCATCCTGCTCCCACTTGCCCTCTACACGGCTATGTTTGCTGTTCATTTTACAGTATTAAATAAAAGGTATTTCACAATGTTTTCTCCAGAAGAAGAATCACTTGTCTTTGCTTTGAATTAAAGGCTATTGATTATGGATTTCTCCATATTTAGTGTCAGAAGCACAGCCACAAGCTGTGTCTTTGTTTAATTCCCTTCCCAGACTCCTGCATTGTTTTTAGAGAAAGGCTCTGGCCAAGCTGGCAGTGAAACTGAGTTTGAGCTTAAGACTTTCTGAAATACCAAGCAAGTATCCTAACCAAACTCTCTGTCTCCTTTTTTTTCCTCCTCTCTTTCCTGGACCTGAAAATGTCTCAACCCCATTCTTTTTATTTTTGTTTTTGTAACAAAAAAAAAAGGCATTGCATTCTTAAAAAAGGCTTTGGCTGTGATTAAAAAAAAAAAGTTTGAGTGTGCCCAAAGGGAGGACTCTTATCTGAATGCCTGCAACCAAGAGATGCTTTTTATGTAGAAGGAGCACAACAGCTAGTAAAATGGCCAAGTAATGTTTTTCCATATGCCAGCATTAAGAGATGAGTTGAATAAGCATTTCACCATAAAAAAAGAATATAAAATTAAATCTGTTATTTTTCAGTTTAAGTCAACTGGTCTTACCACTACCAACTTAGCAGAAATGAGACTTAAGGAGCCACAGAGAGAGGCTTTGTTAGATACAACCTGACAGTGGGTCAGCTTATTTGTTATAAGAACACCTCTAAAGATAGTTGATGGTGCTTTGTGCAGTGTGAGCGTGTACATTTTTGTGACCTCAAGTCCTTGCAGCTCTGGACAATTTCCTGCAAGACTGTCTCTATTTGCTGTGATTCACAACATTAGAGGTGTGTGCATCTAAGGGAACTGCAGTCACTCTTCTCCTGATGCCATGTCTGGTTTTATTTTTTTCTTTCTGTAAAAACAATGTGGTAATGCATGATAGAGCTTTGTATGCCTGTTCTGCCAGACTTTTAATTGTCGCATTCTTTGCTCTCTTTTGTAGTGGTCCTGGGGATGGTTTCTTCAGTTCAGCATTTCAGTCCCAGCTGATCGGGAACAATCTTCATAATGTGTCTGTTCCAGAGCGTGAGTGTCCAAAGGAATAAACCACTTTGAGTGTTGTCAATGTACGTGAGGGTTTAAATAAAAACAGCATCTCCTGGGAGTCAGTGCAGGACAATGCAGATTGTGCCTTCATGGTCATGGTCAGATCCACGCTGTTCCTCTGTGCACTTTTATATATTGACAGAAAAGAAAAAGGCTGAAAATAACACCATGTTTAGTACAAGGTCACTAGCTGTTTCATCATATTCCTTCCAGAGGGAAAGATGCCATTTTGAGGGATTTGACAGTTTTGTGTGCATGCATCTTTGTGTTTTTTGGCATTTATGCTGCTTGAGACAACAAAAAGAGATTTGTCCTGTTCACCTTGGGCTTGTAGGTTTTCAGATGTGGGATTTGTTTCCAAAATGTGTGTAAATGAAAACTATCAACCCCTTTGTGACACAGCATGCCCCTGGTTCAGCCGTGTTGTATTCAAGCATGCATATGAATTTAGGGGAAAGATGGCTCTGTGGTCATTCCCTAATCTGCAGGTTGGCTAGGGACTACTGAACCTTTAATATGGTTTAGCTTTCCAATTACTTCAGCTTTTCTCTGGCTGTTCCCTGCTCCAGATCTGCTACTGGGAGAGCATCTCCAAGACTGTGTTCTCCCACTTGTGTTGGGAGGCTATGAAGGAAGGTGTCTGAGGCCAGAGTATTGGCTCCACTCTCTTGATAGCTGAGCTTGCCTCCCTTCCCTCTTGTATTGCTGTAGGGGTTGGGCAATGGAGTGCTTCAAAGTAGTCACATGCTTTTCAAACTTGATCATGTTTTAATTTGACCATATACTCTTATGGAAAGCTATCTCAAACCTCTCATTATTGAAATTACATACAAAAGAACTAGCGCTTCTGTTTATGTTAAAACTAGGTGGGAGAATTTTAAGTGTTTCAGCCAAATGTTATGTAACAGTTCTACTGAATCGTGGTTGGGGATGGAAGATAAGCTTGCAGAGAGCTGTGTGGAGTAACGTGTCAAACAGGAAATGAGCTTTCATCAAAACAAAGCGGGAGAATGCGTGCCTAATTGGAGCACTGCAGACTAACTGGGGGAGATGTTTATAGGAGAGCTGCCTTATGCCTTTTTTCCTCCTTTCTTCCCATGTAGACTTGGCATACGGGTCTGTGGTCACAATGAAGAACCTTCGGATGGCAGGGGGATACCTTCACTCCCACTGGCACCTCTACCCGGAGGGCATTGGAGCTCGCCAGCAGCAGGTTAGTGTACTGTGGTAGTACTGCCTCTGACTACAACCATCGACTCGCTCCCACTGCACTTAGCATTACGTGCTCTTGTGACAGGAGCTATGTATTTACTCAGCATTTGTTACCCTCTCAGTGCCACAGCTATGCACTTGGCTTGGAAGTCTAAGTGAAAAAGGATGCTTGAAGAGAGCCTACCACATTGCACCAGAGAGGTGACTTACAGTAACAAGGCTTCATTGTAGTAGCAAGACCACCCTCCATAGATGGAGGCCAAGAGAGTTTAAAAATAATCTTCCACAATGAAAGTGCTGTTGTTGCCTTAAGGAAGCCTGTAAAACTTATGTTTAAAACAAATACATTACTTTATCTTACAGGTTTCATTGCTGTGTTTTAAAAGCAACAGAATAGGGCTGCTGTGTGTTGTTTTCACTCCTGCCACCGGCCTCTGTGACCTTACATGAGTTACTCTCCTTTTGTGCCTTGCTTTCCTCATTGGCCACCAAAGAATTTGCAAGGCTTTGCTCATTAAATTAGATATCTGTACATTTGTAAGCTAGCCATAATTAAACTATCTGAAATCTCTAAGGGCTTCTGATAAAATTAGGCAATAAATCAAAGTAAAAATCAGAAATCATGTAACTATCGCTAATTAAGTAGTACAAAAATTAAGTGAATTTCTTATTTTTGTCCATCATCATCAAGCTTCACAAATCTTTGCAGCTTCTGCAGCTTTCCCAGAATGTATTTTGCAGTTTGCATGTTAGTGTCTAAAAATTGTTCTGAGCTCCTTGAAAGAAAGTTGCCAGAGAAAAACAAGTGTTTGTTTTTTATCTCCCTTCAGTCTCTGTGGTGAGGAAGAAGTTTTCAGAAATGAAAACTTTGTGTCAATCTTCTTTTCCTGCTGTTCTTCCCAACCAAAAATTCTAATACTCTCATGTGACATTGATGTTTATTACTGTAGATGGAGATGTCATACCAAAACTGGCTTAAGGATAAGCAAAATTCAAGTGCAGAGCATGCTTTATGACACTAAAAGCAGGGAAAGGGGATTTGGAGAGGATGCTGATGGGAGTTTCCTTGAGGGTAAGTGGGAAAGGGTGGAGATTCCCCCCCCACCCCCCGTGCCTCCTGCCCAAGGGTAGGGGGCTGGGACAGTTTGGGGGCTGTGGAGAGGAGAAGGGAATTTAGAATGTGGAGTAGATTTAGGGGGGAAAAGATGGAGGCAGTGATCTCTCTGCCTCCTCTGCTGCCTCTCCTGATGATATAACCTCAAGGTATGAGGTTCTACCTACAGCTCTCTGTTTTTCCCCACCCTCAGACACTCCTGTATATTCTGCCTCTCACTCACCCACTGGGCCATCAGCTCCCACCTGAGTGGGAGGCACAGGTCTGGGGCTGGTCTAGGGTCCCACAGAGCAGAGTTTGCTGCTGCTGGAAGAGGAGAGTGAGCAAAGTGGGCACAGTTCCTCATGCTGCTTGGGAAGGCTGCCCTCGGGAGCAGCACCCTGGGGCCAGATGGTCTCCCCTGCCGGTGTACCAGTAGGAGCAGTTACTCTGGGTCTGAGCAGGCCGGTAAGGATTAGCTGGGTAGCATGTGTGGCTTTAACAGTTGATCCCTGAATCCTTCTTACCTTGCCTGGATCTTTTGGCAGAAGTATTATGGTTGTCACAGGCAGCCTGTTGTCATAAATCTCTACCAGTGATGCCTGTCTGTAAAGCCAGTGCTGCTTCCATCTCCTGGTTCTGGTACTGGTCAGTGATTATTCAAAAATTTCAGGTTTGGATATCCTGTTGTTGTAGAAGGAGCCTCTGAAGGAGGATGAGGGGAGGTCAAGCTGTATGGTTGGAGGCTGTTACTCATGATGCACATGAACTGCCATTAAGTGTAGTGCTTCTGAGTGTACGGGTTATACACTGAATAAAAGGTGTGATCTGGGTTAAGGAGTGGCCAGTAACTGACTTTCTAGGGGGCACTATCATAAGTCATCCCAGGGTTTCTATGTTATTGGTGCATTCATTTGGGACTTCAATTTGCTGACGAATGTGTGTCTGCTATCACCAGCTTTTTTCTTGTTTGGTAAAATAACTTATCCTGTGCTTTCAGGTCACTGCCTACTTACATAAAGATTTGAATAACCTGTGGATTATAAAGAAACATGATTCAGATACAGGTAACAAATACCAGTAAAGTGCCTTTTATAACTGCTGCTTCCGTTTCTCACTTAAATATTCTAAGTTCCGTCCAGGGCAAAGTATAGATATGAGGGGGGAGAGGAGGAAGAACAAGAGGAATATGGCTCCGTCTTGATTAATGCTGTTTGTGTCTACTGTGTTTTTGGTTTTTCTCCAGATTGTACAGCTGAAGTAAATAAGCTTTTCTCAGCTGAAGGTTGCATTGACAACTTTTCAGCTAGGTAGGGCTGCAAATAACAGAGAGGAAATTAATCTGAACTCAGTATTTTGTGGAATCTGTTATTGTGGCTATGGGTCCTGGAGAAGTTGGGTCCTTCTGATACATTGTGTTCAACTGATTTGCACGGCTGTTTGCTTGGGACAAGATAAGAGTACTGAACGTGAAGACCTATGGTTTGTACATACATCCTTTGTTTTAGAATATCATATAGTGTAGTTGAGGCATGTTTGGTCTGGCAGAGTTTCCTTTCTTCTCCTGCAATGTGTATATAAAAATTAACAAGAACTGTCTGTAAACAACAAAAAATGCAAATAACCTAGATATAACAAAATTATAATCAGTGTTGCAAGAGCTCATGAAATATATATATCTATATATTTGGTGTTCAGTTAGCCTGACCAGGCATCCTCTTTATTTAAGGGCAATACGTGCTGCTTGGGGCCATGTTCTTTGGAGTAGCCCTCAGGGCTGGTCTTTAAACTAGAGCAGTGTTTTACACCAGGCTTAGAGTCGACACAAATTAGTTTGCCTTGTATTGTCCTTGAGGCATGAGCGTTCCCAAGAAACTTTCTAAGACCCTGATATGTTTGTGGGTGCATTGATATGATTAGTTTGCCTTCCTTCAGCAGATCTGTCAGACCCCTCAAGCCCTGTGGAGTTTGTGAGGCACGGAGATATTGTTCGTCTGGAACATAAAGAGTAAGGATGATTTCTGGGATTCAAAGAGATTGTGTGATTGAATAGAATTGGTGGGAGATTTGTCCTGCTGGAGACTACATGGTTAGGCCAGCACAAGCGGGCTGTGTGACAGAGGTGTCTGTATATCTGCAGTTCCAGTGTGGAGTTTGTGGAGTTTTTCTTCTATGGTTTATGTTTTGAAGGGTGTCTTTTAAATCGGAAACTTCTAACAGAACCACACAACTTCATTAGAAATACCTCCCTAAGCAGCAGAGGGATTTGTTCAGCTGTGTGAGGTGCAATATTAAGGGTAACACTTGTGCAAAGAAGCAATTTCAAAACTCTCATTCTGTTGCTTGTCCCCACTCTCTGAGTTTTCTAGGCAAATAGTGTACTCCAAGAGTCCTGTTCCTATGTGCATAGGCAGTACTGAAGTTCTCAACAGCGCTGAGATCACAGCAGTGAAACACTTTTAATGAAAATGTCAGCTGGTGCCTTCCCTCTCTGTAGGGAATACCTGAGAGGAAGCAGGGGAACCCTAGTGACTTGATATTTAATCTTCATCTCATCTAATGTCACTGTGCCACAATGCTCTGTGCTGTCGCAGCTTTGATTTCTTAACAGAAGCTCTAAACTTGTGAGCCTGGAAGTCATGACATGTTGCATTCAATATTGTGTGTTCACAAATCATTACTTAGGTTTCCAAAATGATTTTAAGATTTAAAAAAAAAATGCCTTGAATTTTGGGGTTTACTACCAAATATATGATAATGAAGGTGATAAAATCTTGATTAGGCAATACTGTTAGGTCTTGATTAGCTCTCTGGAATGGGAGGTGAAACTGCGGTGCTGCGGCAAAGATGTGGCAGATGGCTCTCGTCTCCTTACATACAAACCTCATCCAGCGTGGGCAGAGGGTTTCTGTGCAGATGAGGGCTGGATGCAGCTGTATTGTTGGCGGAGGTGGTTCATTGTCTGAGTGGTTTTATTAAGGACTGACTAGGATATGGCCATGTTTTTCTGGTTGCCTCAGTAGCAGGCCCTGCTAGGGCGGGAGGCTGTCTGCACCATGTACAGCTGGTGCTAATGGGGGCCACCGATCCCCCCCTCAGTAAATCTGTGCCCAACTAAATGGTACAATCTTTCCCCTCAAAAGCAAAACTGATAATCAAGAGAAGTCAGGATCTTCCTTTCATTCTTGCAAGAGCAGGACTGTTAGTCCCACCTTTACTCTTCCTTTAAAAAAAAAAAAAAAAAAAATCCAACAATGTCTTTTCCACTTGGAGGTGGTTGCAGCTTGAGGTTTGGATTTATTCATGCTGTCCTCCTTTTCCAGCACTGCCCAGTGTGGCATAAGCTCAGAGTCGTGTGGTAGGAAGCGGCAGTTTCAGTCTGTGGCCCCATCGCTGTTAAGACTGCATCCTGCCCTGCCCTCGGCTGGAATTCAGTGGTCAAAGCTCTGGCAGCTCTCTGAATGGCTCAAACCAAAGTTCTTATCACAAATTGACTGAGACATAAAAACAACGAGGTTTGACTTTTAATTTCATTTCAGAACTTCTAGAAATCTTCACAGTCACCAGCACGAGGCTCCCCTGACAAGGAAGCATTTTCAGGTCACTGGCTATGGAATAGTAAGTGAATGGCAAGATAAAACAAAAGCTCCTTCTTTTGGGGAGAGTTCATACCGTGTCAAGGGGATTTATTCTTGCTTTTTTAGTTTGTTAGCCAAAGTGATAGATGTGCATCTACCATACTGGAGGAAAAACTGATTTAGTATGAAATAGCTTATCTCATATTTAAGGTCTATTTAATGTGAACACAGACAAGAAAATAACTTAAGCTTTTACCGCCAGTCTAGCTTTGGCAGCGTTCAACTCCAGAAATGCCAAACTTGAGCAACCTTGAAGTTGCTCTGGCAAGTATTATTTTATGTATTTGGCCTTGTCTCATAGACAAGTGCCTTTTTTTGACAGAATGATGACAGAATTTTGAATCATGAAAATGTAATCTGCTTTGAGGGCTGAATTTCCAAATGCAAGGGGCTGTTCCCTTTTATGAAGCTGCCAAGTTACCCCTGTTTAAAATGTAACTCTGAGCCACAGTCAAGTATGAATTGGAAGCAAAAAAATTTAAGGTTGGCAGGATAAAAATGTGTTTGTGAGTTGTTGCTCATGTCTAGAATCATCTCTTCCTGATAGGGAAGCTCTTCTGTGAAGTCTGAGAGAGGGTAGCCTGGGCTCCTTTATTTAGCTTTGCCACCATTAGTTTCAGAAGTTCCAATTTGCAGTGCTTCAGTCCTGTATGTCTTCTAGTTCAAGTTTTTGGGGCTTGTGGGTTTTTTGCGTTTTTTGTGTTGTTTCTTTTTTTTTTTTCCTCCTATGGTATGTTTGCATGATAGAATGGAACAGGAGACTCCAATGATTTCTGGCGGATTGAAGTTGTGGGCAGAAAGGCTGGGAAGCTCATCAAAGTCCTACGGAGTCAGGTCCGGCTAACCCATGTGGCCACAGGGTGTATATTGGGCTCTTCTGGAAAGACTCTGCCAAAATGGTAAATAGCTTGTAATCCCCCTCCACCCCTGCAAGGCCTTGAGCTGACATGTTCCTTTGCTCAATGGTAATTTTAAACTAAGCAATAACCACACTTCCTCCGTTTCCTTACCTTTAAAAGAATAAAAAAGTAACTAGCAGGTGCTACAAATATAACCAGAGGGGAAGGTCTGGGTTAGGGTTATGCAGTCTGTTACAGTGAAGGTATGCAGCTCTGAAAAAAAAATATCCCTTACTAAAAGGTCCAAGAGTGGCATGGGTGTAGATCTTGTCATCTGGTAAGTCCAGGAGGGGATGACAGACATGTTCTTCAAGGCCCATTTTATCCTTGGGATTCACAAAAATTGCTAGAAACTGAAGCAGTTCATGCTGTTCCATACCATAATCTTCCAAATGTCTTTTTATTGCTATTAATTTCTTTTGTGGTTGGAAGACCTTCTGCCATTTTTGCATGCAGCATCTGAAGCAAGGGCAACAGTAACAAGCTGCTATTAGCAGGGGTCGTGATTTAATATGTCCTTGGATTATATATCTTCGTCATTAAGATGAGGTATATGCAGAGACATCCAGAATAATGCCAAGCAAGCTGCTGTATCTGCAAAGCTGTATTGTGTGGGATGCTAACATGGATCCTGAAGCAGCAGGCTGTGTGGTCATGTTGCTTCTGTTTCCAGAGCAGCCTCCGTTACTGCTTGCTTAGGTTTCCTTTCACTGCGTTATGGTAAAAAGGGCTTCTAAGGAATCCTGTGGATGCTGAATCATAGTGAGCGCAGGCAGATACCTCTGGTATCTGGAATACAAATGCCATTTAGACTTTACCAGTAAAACTGGACTCATGGGTAAATAATGTGATTGGTTTTTAAAAAAAAAAAATCGCTGCATCTGTCAACAGCATTCAAGAAAGGGGGTATATATATATTTTTTTTTCCCCTAACACAAATTTGCCCTGTGAATGGAAGTTATTGCCACAAAATATTGATGACATTAAGAGCTGAGGGGAAAAAATACTTGTTAACTGCAAATAAGGATGGTTAGTGTATATTGGATTTTTATATTTTTTTAGGAATTTAAAGGGGAGTAATCACTGTCCTTCAGAGAACTAAGTGGTGATTAAATAATGTAATTAATGAATTAGTGGTGTTAAGTCTGCTAAGTGGTGATTGATAGAAAATTTCTTATTAATCTGTCACGTTACTGCAGGGTTTGATGCACTTTCTCCCAAAGTGTTTGATGTGACCTGCGACAAATAGGGTGACAGACTAAATGAACAGTTGGTGGGATCATCTAAAGTCATTCTTTTGTTTCTGTAACACAGTTGCTGTAGGCATGGATTGACTTAAATTAACGACGGTGATTTTGTTCTGGAGAGACTGTAAGGGTTGACTTGAAGTAGTTTCTAGTTGTCAATACGCATCATCTTCAGAGATCTCACTGCTTATGTATGGACCTAGGTTTTTTAGTTTAGATGCCCAAAGTTAGAAATGCGGTTCAAATATTCTGTAGAATTTTGATGTTGGCTGCCTTGCAAATCTGTTTTGGTTTCTACATGGTGCTTAGAGCCTGTAAGAGTGTGTAAGAATGCAGCTGCTGTGGTTGAGTGGTATGGTAGGTGTTATGGGGAAGTATAAAGCTAAATGGGGAAAAAATAAGACATGAACTGGAAATACTGAGTGATCTTTTGTGGGGTGGTGGCTAACTGTTCTGCTGTTCTTCAGGGGTTGGGAACAAGTGGAAGTCACCTGCACACCATACCTGAAGGAGACTCCCAATTCCCTCTGGAACTTTGAAGATCATACTAACCCTAAGTGTAAGTAATTTGTTCCTTTTCCTTTAAGAGTGCATCTTGGCTTGCTGTTAAAGGAAGGGATGAGCTATCAGATGGCAAGAACTGGCATTCAGCGTTTAGAATTTGTGTGTTCTTTCCCAACTCAAGTGCGAACTTGCTGAACTTGGGCCAGTTGTTCAGAGATGCATAGCCTTTTTCTACTTCACTGTTTGTACTGTAAGCTGGTGATAATGCTTCAAGTGTAGTGGAAGTATAAAGACTTTTTTAAGGATTTTGAGATCTTCATGGGTAACAAAAGTGTGAAGTTTTATAGGCACTGCAATACAGGCTGTTATTTTTAACATCATTGGTTTAATAGGGAATTATTGTCATCGATATGAGTATGTCATATATACTTTAATGATTTTTTTTTTTAAAAAGCTAGGATCCACCCTGTTCTGGTGTATTTTTGCCCTTCTCTTACCAGGGGCATGCTAAATAATGACTTTGCAGTACCACGAAGAAATGAATAGAAGTGTGACAGAGAACTAAGTTTGTCAATGACGACAGATGGGCCTTGCAGCCTTATCCAGGAGATAGATATGTGTCACAGCCTCATTTGGCCTGAATTATTCAATACAATTTTCATCCCATGAATTGCAGATGACTTGGGCTGAGTTCTGAGTTACTAGAAAACCTAGTGTTCTTCATCCTTTCAGAGCGACTGTATGCAAACCAAAGGAGAGGAATCCTGGGCTGTTGACTTGGTAGAATTTCCTCTTCTGTTGTAATGTATTTTACATTCCCACACTCATGGCTCATTTACAGATAAACAGCAGCCCATGAACAATATGTCTCTAATTTCAGCTAGAAATACAAATCTGTTTTTCATGGACTTTTAGCTATTTCTCTTGCTCCTGGAAGTAAAGGAGGAAATCTAGGAGTACATCAGTTGTGAAATTCACTGGGGGATACTTTTGACTGCAAAATATGAATGAATTGCGTAGGGAATTAAAAGAGGTGCTAGAAGCAGATTTGTCACAGGAGGAGAGAGTTCAGTTTATTATGAAAGAGGCAAATAAAAGTAAACCATACAGACTTCTAATCTATTTTTCTCTCTTTTTCTAAAGTGCCCAATATCAGCCTGGATGTTTTGAAGCCCTCTTTTGCAGAAATTCTGCTAGAATCCCACATGGTTATGATCCGGGTAGGATATCATTAATTTTAGATTATAATTTTCTTCCTCCTTTCTCTTGCATCAAAAAGAAATAGCATTTTCTGAGATATCTGGGTGATGGCTGCAAGCTAGGGCAGAGTTTACATGCCCCAGCAACCTACATGAATTTATGCTTAGAAAAAGGGGTGATCTTGCAACTAAATCTTCCAAAAGTTTGGAAGCCTTGGGCTTGATGCCTGGCTCTGCTGTTGGTGTCATCTAGCTACAGCCTGATTATGTAATTCCTCCACTGCTGAAATTCGGTTCTGTAAAGGAGAGCTGGAAATTTTCCCTACCATACTGGAAGGTTTTAAAGTTAAATTAGTATTTGTGGGGCAGGAAGATACTATTGAGGAAAATTAGCTAAACACACACTTATGAGAACAATAAATGTTTGAATTGTAAATGGAAAACTTCTACTTTTTTTAAAGTTCATCGAGGTGCTGTGTTTTCTGCTTTCCTCTTCCCTATTTATCCCTGAATATAAAAAAAAGATCTGGATTTAATATTTTCAAGGTGGACTACTTTTGTGGTCTTTCCCCGTGATTGTTCTTTGTGCTCTTGGTCACAGCCCTTCTGCTTCAAGCTCCTAAATCCCTCGTCTGAAGAATGAGAAGTTACTATTTTGAGAAAGGAGTCTATATAAGGTTTTATTTGCTACTGTTTGTAAAGCTCTTCTCAGATTCTTAAAAGAAAGAAGGTAGTCAAGCAAATTGTTATTAATGCTAAGCATTTCCATGGCAACCAGTGATAATGCTGTCTCAGGTAAGGAAGCACCTGCATGGGTTTCCATGGAAATAATCTTTCTGAGGCTTTTATTTCAGAGTGGAGGGAAACCTGTTGAAGTAGTCTCTTAATGAACAAAGGTCTTGCTTATGCAACATGTATTCTCAGTGACAGAAAAACTGGAGAAGATAAATGAAAGAATATTGCCTCTAATGGTACCCAAAGAACACTTTCACTTGCACAGTAATATTAAAACATTCGTTTGTCCTCACTGTGGCCATCTCCAGAAGGTGATGTGTTTGCGTAGTCAGAAAACAGTCTTTACTCAGGAAGAGTATTCATGTATTGTTTGTGTACCCAGACATTTCTGGGCAGGCTTTGCAGCATAACTGCTGGCTCATTTAAATTTTATCTTGACTTATCTGTAGGGAGACAGTGGCCTCAAACCAAAGGACAATGAAGTTACATCCAAACCTTGGCACTGGCCAATCAACTACCAGGTATATTGATCAATCCACCTTCCTTTCTGTTTTCAAGTGCTTTTGCTGTGCTTCTTGAAGCATAGCACCTCTTAATTACATTGAAGGTGTTGTCAGCTTTATTTTGTAGCAGCTGATCTGCATGGATGGGAATTTGTCTCACCTTTGACACTGTGCAAAATACAAACTGGATTGATGCAAACCCATTTTACTCCCTTCTGGTCTGTTTCCTCAGGGCCTGCGTTTTTCTGGTGTCAATGAGACTGATTATCGAGTTTATTTGCTGGGAAACCCGGTAAGTTGGAGTGGAAGGTTCCAAGCCAATGTCTTTAGCAAATTTTAGCTTACTCTTGCTTCTGCCAGTGACAATGCAATGGTTCTCTTCCTCCTCCTTCTTTTGGACTGTTGTACTCTCTCGTTGTACTTTTATGCTTGCATGTAGCTTTTCATTTCCTCTCACATGCGCATTCCTGTGTCCAGCCTAAAGTCCCAAATCTTTCTTTTTTTCCTATGTAGGTGATTTGGTGGCTAAATCTGGTCACTATTGGGTTATATCTTCTGATGGCAGTTTCCACTGCAGTGATCCTGAAGAGAGGTGTCCAACTGCCATCTGAACTCAAAGGTGAGGTCAGTCTTCCTATCCCTCCTGCACTATAGAATCCCTATTATAACATCCTGGTTTCTGGTACAGGAAAGCTCATCTTGGGACTCCTGTATTAAAAAAATGGGGTTTTTTTATATTGTATTAAAACCTTGGGGGTTGAACAAAATACACTCAAGGCAGCTGTGTGTACAAAACACTAAGCTATATAGTGCTTTGAAGTGTAGCACTGAATGATGTGACTGTTAACAAGGGGTTCCATACTAGAAATTATTACTCTGATGAATAAATCTCATTTTTTGCATGGCAGACCATTCCTGATGAGTTGCCAAATTTCCTAAGCCTGTAAGTCTTGATCAGAAATCTTCAAGTCAGCAAGGGCCCTGAGACACCTACTTAGCCAAAGAGAAGAGCTCTGGAAGTGACTCACAGGCAGGGGATATGACCAGTGGCTTCTCAAAAGTCTTACCACTCCTTTGCTGGAGAGTACAGAGCTGGACTGGGTATAAGCTGGCATCTTAAAGTGATCCAAAGATCAGAGTCTCAGTAGGCTTCTGCTGCCTTGTTTTCTTGCAGGAGACAAGGGCTTGGATTAGTCAGTAGCTCACATGCCAGCTCTGGTCTGCAGGTGATCACCCAGCCTAGCATGGGAGTTGCTTATGAACTGCTCAAGAATCAAGATGTTGGCCACAATTGCTGTCAGTTACATTGATCACCACAGCTCAGAAATGACCAGATGCTTATCTGTTGGAAAGACTATATTTGATCTGGACGTATCAGTAGAAGGTGATAAAACGTATGTCAGGGAAACCTTCCTGATGCAGAGGTCTACTGGTCCCATGGTTTTTAGCTTGTTCTGCAGGCTTCCAAGATGTTTTTTCTAGTAGAGATACTTACCCTACATACATTACTGATAATAAGGCTTCCTTTTCACAAATGACTTTTGCAGGCACCTTAAAAGTTTGTGTGCCAAGGGTGGGAAACCACTGAGCTTAGGTTATAGAGCAATGTCCACAAGGAGAAGAGTGGGAGCTTCATATCTCAAATAGTTTAATAGTGAACAGGACAGATCTTCAACAAAAGTACTGCAAGGAACTACCTGTGTTGGCTGTAAGGGAGACAGACCAGTTGGATCCAATGCCCTGCTCTCAAGCTCTGCATGTGCTCTGTACTACTGTATATGCATGGTGTTTTGAAATTAGAAAAGTTTCCTGATGTTTATGAAAAGCAAATGACATGCAAGAGATGCAATGATCCTTTATTAAGTCCAATGCCAAGGTCATAGAGCTTTTCACAAACCCTCATAAGTCACACTTTGACCATTCCAGTTTACGTCAATGGTTGCTTCATTTTGTAGATCTCTTTGTGGGAAGTGAATTCTAAAATGTGATGTGAAACTATGCAGTTACACAATAAGTTATTGGTTAAGCTGCGTGCAGACACCAGAGCTCTCAGTCCCTTACCCAGGCTCTGAAAGGTAGGCAACATTTCTTTCCAGGGAAGGCTGGCAAAGTGATCATCTCGATGGTTTGTAGTCTCGTTGCAGAGAGAATAAAAAACGTCAGAAACTGGAATGACATAATTAGTCTGATGTATGTCCTGAGAAACCGCAAGTTCGGTCTTAACATAGAGCATGGTCAACCTCCTGCCAGTCCCTTGAGACTTAAGCCTTTGTATATCTTTTCTGATAACTGTTTTTCTGAAAAGTGTTTGTATGTCTGTAAAGAATGCAGCTAAGATGTTGCAGAGGCTTGGAGCAATTTCAGACCAGTACATGACTTCCTGCAAAGATCATTCCCGTTGAGTTTACTTACTGTGATAAGGCTTGCAAATAGGAACTGTAGTTGAGTTTTTCTCTGCTGAAGTCTGTTTATTTGTGTTCCAGAACTGTCCAGAGTCGTGCTATGTGGTGGAGGGCAGATCACACTGGGCTGGCTCCTTCATTACCTGCCTTTTTTTATGATGGGCCGAGTTCTCTACTTCCACCACTACTTTCCTGCCATGCTTTTTTCCAGCATGTTGACAGGTAAATACTAGAGTCTGGAAGAAGACAATTCTGTTATATTGAATGTTTTCAGACTAAACAGTATATTTTTTTAATAGGTTTTCTCCTTGCTTATGCAAAGTGCTTGAAAACATTGACTGATTCAAAATGTTTTTCACAAAGTAGCTTGCAGTGCCAGGTTTTTTTTTTTTGTTACCACTCTGAAGAGGCAGTCATGTCTAGTGCTTAGGGCATTTAAATTTAGAGACGTGATTCCTATTCTCTGCTGTGTCACTGTTCTTACATATGCTTTTATACAAGTTACTTCCCTTTGTTTGCTGCCCCCACTTTTCTGTCATGTCTGTTTATAATTCAGTCGTGGTAGCTTTTTCTGCGATTTTATACCATGCTGGGGTCCAGATCTCTTTTGCATTTATTCAAATGGTAAGGTAGGAAAAGAGAACCTACTGTTGATACAAAACAGTCCCTATAGTTCTGAAGGTTACCAAGGTAAATAAATTTAAAAATTGACAAGGTTTTCTGCTGTTAACAGAACTTTGTCCGCCCAGTCTATTGGTGAATGTAGCATCTCTCTTCTTTGGCCTCTACATTGTTCCTGACTTCTACCTCTTCCTTCTCCTAGGAATCACCTGGGACACACTACTGAAGTTCTGTGCTGGGTTCTGGTCAGCGAGCACTACAGCTAGAAAAGTATATGGAGGGGGGTTCCTGGCACTGGTTCTACTCATCATGTACAGGTGAGTGCTGAAAGCTGAACTTTTCCTGAATGTGTGACAGTCACTGTGTTAATGGAAACCTTAGTGCTTGTTAATTACCCTTAGCCTTTGTCTCTGCCTCTCTACTCTGCTGAACTTGTCAGACATCATCAAGCCCAATTCTAAACACTCAAATTTGATTAGATTCAGATCTGTGTCCCAGTAATGAGTTATAAAACATCTTTCCATTGCAGGGAACCTTTCTTTTATCCCAGCACTCAGTGTGAACACACTATTCTCCTCCAAACCCACAACTCAGTGGTTTCTGATTCTAGTCCACATGTCAGATGGTGCCACATCCCTCAAATACAGGCAGATTCTTCATTGCTGTAGGTTTTCTCAGATGGCTTTTCTCCAAAGCTGTTGCTTTCTAAGAGAAAATACTACCTGTGATAAAACTGTGTACTGTGTTGTTGTGGTTTAACCCCAGCCAGCAACTAAGCACCACACGGCCGCTCACTTACTCCCCCCCGGTGAGATGGGGGAGAGAA